GTGTGTTTTGGCACATGCGTTATTTACCTGACCGACAGTAATGGCTGCAGAGGAGCCATTGGTGTCTGTTGTGTAAATACTCTGCACAGAGACCATCCTCCTGGGGCTGTGGCTCAGGCCTGTTTCTCCAAATCTGACTAGCCCTGTGGCAGTCCTGTTTACTCCTCCCCTGCCCCTAGAGGGCTGGTCCCTTCATTTTTGAGAAGGGAATCATTCATTTTCCTCCTTGTCATAAGCTACTTACTACTGTTAATTTACTAGGAGAAATAAAAGGGTACCTAAGAATAAATGTGTAAATCTTGGTCTCTGATGAAAGGTTGTGTGCAGAAAAACACAGAATCATAAACTGTTTCTTCTGTGTTTTGCCCCTCAACTAGATACTCAAATCCCAGTTGATAATATAAGTTCTAGACTTATATTCTGCTAACTTATGACTAAAGTATAAAGACATCAATAGAAAAGAGAAACCCCTAGAAGCCAGAGAAAACGAGGGCAGGTGAAGCTCCACTGTACTTAGGGCAGGGATGTTTCCTAAGAAGGCTCCAGTGGAGGCAAGAGTGCCCAGTGAGGGGGCACCAGTTGAGGCTCTGATGGAGACTCGCCAGCCTCCCTGCTAGAGGAGAGCATGCGACGTGCATTCTGTGGACAGTGTGGGGAGATTGCCCCCTTACGTACTGTCTGTTTTCCGTTTCTTTTTTAAAACAACATTGTGTATGGACTAAAAGATAAATTTTAAGAAGTTTGAAATAGACCAAATTTACATAAAAGTTGGAAATTTAATACAAATAAATTTTTTTTGAACCATTTGAGAGTTATGTTATTGATCTAATGCCCCATCACCCTGAATACTTTGCATGTATTTCCTAATGCAAGGACATTTTTCTACCTAAACAAAATGGAACCATGAAAACTAGGAAATTGACATTGATAACATTACCTCCATCTAATCCTCAAACCCCATTCAAGTTTTGCCTGTTGTCCCAGTAATGTTCTTTGTAGCAAAATGATCCAATTCATAATTGTGCATTGCCTTTAGTTATTAAGTCTCTTTAATCTCCTTTAACTTACCTAAGTAACTATACCTTGACCTTCATAACCATATATATATATTTAAATATATGTTTTCATTGATTTCAGAGAGGAAAGGAGAGGAAGAGAGAGATAGAAACATCAGTGATGAGAGAGAATCATCTATTGGCTGCCTCCTACACACTTCACTCTGGGCATTGGGCCGAGACCTGGGCATGTGCCCTGATCAGGAATTGAACCATGACCTTCTACTTCATAGGTCAATGCTCAACCACTGAGCCACACCAACCAGTCAATGACCTTGATACTTTTGAACATTATAGGCTGACCGTCCTTAATTAGGGTTTGTCCGATATTTTTTGATGATTATATTTAGGTTATACATCTTTGAATATCATAGGAATGATGCTGTGTTCTTCTCAATGCATCTTATATCTTGTGGTATGATATTATTAATAATGTTCATTTTGTTCAGTGAATTAAGGTGATGTCTGCCAGGCTCCCCCTTTATAAGCTTACTTCCTATTATAATAAACATTCTATGGGGAGGTACTTTCAACTATGTGGATATCCCTTATGAGACTTAAACTTTATTTATTATATCTTTATGAAGTCATAAGTTTCCTTTTTATTTAGCTCATTATAATATATTAATATCATCATTTATTTTGCCAGATCCCCTTGAAACTGACTTCTGCATGTTTTTGATATGTTATTATCATTGAGAATTTCCTTGCTTTCTGGCATAATATGTTCCAGGTTCATCTTGTCCCTTTCTCTACCATAGCCCAGAAATCAGCCATTTCCCAAAGAGCTCTGGAGAATATTATTTAGAAGGCAACTGGGTTCTATGTGTACTTATTGTTATTGGAGTGTTGCTGCTCCTTGGTCCTTCAGCAAACAGAGCTAGAAAATATATTTGCTTGTGTTTGTATATTTGTATATGTACCTGTGTGTGTATATTCATACTCACATTTGTATCTAGCTTTATTTTTATTTATTATGTATCAGAAATTTATCTTTTCCTTTTTCCATATTTTAATTCTGTAGTCTAATAGTGAGAAATGGGGGTCTCCATGACTTTTAATATATGCCCTTCTTTAATTAATTCCTCTTTATATATCGTTGCCACTGCTCTTTCCCCCTCTTGGTGCCCTTTTTACCCTGCCCATGACTCACCACATTGGACTCTCCCACCATTCCCCATGGATGCTCTCCATACTCCACATGGGCTCTGACATGCTACATCACACCTCCCTGCATCTGTATGGATGCCCTCCTCACCTACATGGGCTCTCATTCTAACCTCCAGACCCTTCTGCTTCCCCCACTCCAATTGTTGTTGTCACCTGCTAAAGCCATTAGATTGAATTTTTCAGTAAGGAAAGAGGAAGAGGTGCCCTCTGTTTCTTGACTTGAGTTGAACTTGGTTTTTAGAAGTAAGGGAAGTGTAGAACCCAGTGAGTGCTGACATGTGGAGGCCTGGTCTACTAATGTCTGCTCTCAAGACTTCCTATAGGAGAAGCTATTTGATGTGGGTGAAATTAGATAAGAAAAGTAAGACCTGCCGGAAAAGGAACTCTGGCCATTAATATGTTGTCCATGGAAGGAAGGGAATAGGTATATATATATATATATATATATATATATATATATATATATATATATATATAGTATGGCATATGAGAGACCTAGAGATTCTAGGATGTAGGAGACATTAATGTTACTCTCTGAGGATGTGTTATGCGTGAAGTGGGTTTATAGGCCCAAAGTATGGGGATCTAGGTTTGACTAGGTGGACATAGCCCAATAAGACAGTAGTAATAACAGTAAGCTAATATTGATCTATAATTTAGTTGTAATCTAGGTTGGCGCTGGGAGTAGGTGAATGTAGGTAATTTCCATCTATTCTGCAGCCATCTTGGATTATCCCAATAGTAAGGTAATATTTATTGAGCCCTTATGTTCCAGACACTACTCTTAGTGCTTTACGTGTATCTTCTCATTTCATTCTCACTTAAGGAGTAGAAGCTGTTGTTACCATTTTACATGTGAGGAATCAAAGAACAGAATTTGCCTATTGTGCCATGGTAAATAACTGGTAAAGCCATGATGCAAACCTGAGCCCTCCTTAATCATGACCTTAATTGCCTGTAGCATCTGGCAGATGAGGTCTGGATGATTGGACATACACTTTATATACTGTATTTGCACATGGGAGAATATAAGACTTTCAAAAATCCTTAGGCATGGCCTTACTTGGAGTGGTTAGAGAAAGTATTCTTAGGCCCTGAAGGACTTCACACCAAACTAGAAAGCATAATGTGAGCAGACTGATGTCTCCTATCTCATCAAGGCTTCAGTACTGTTCAGGAGTGGGTGATATGAAGAGTTATTTTGAATTCCAGCTTTCAAAGGGATATTGGCCCATTTGCCTTTCCAAGAGATTCCCTAATGAAACTCAAGCCAGCCTTTGTCTGCTCTGGGCTGAGTTTTGGCTGCATTTTTGGAGAGGCTGGGAAAACAAGCAGTGCTTATGCAGGAATCATGAAGAATTTAAAATAATTTTGGTCTTAGTTCTATTGAATCTATATGGAATTTCACTATAGGGATAGGAAAATTGAGAATGCACACTAGCATATATCCTAATAAATGTTCAGGCAAATTATTGTAGCTCATTCAGTGAGTTGGGAGAGCCAGGATGAGAAGTGATACTTGGTATTGTCCTATGTCCAGTCAGGTAGTAGTGACCTTGTTGCCTTTGAATATGCTCTGGACTTCACTGACTGCTCTCCCCTTCCACCCTATGTGAGGGAGAAAGTGCCCGTTTGCAGCCTTTCAGAGACAAGCTTTTGGCTCTGTAAGCATGGGGTTCCAAAAGGCATAAACTGTGGCCATTTCTGTATTGGCTGTGAAATTTCTTGTCTGACTTTGAGGGAATTTGAGTATTTGGTATAAAAGAGGGGAAAACACCAAATTTCTGCTTTGTTCCTTTTTTTTTTTTTTTTTTTTTTTTTTTTTTTTAAGGAAACTTGAGTTATTTAAAACTTAGGCTTTGATTTTTATATTTCGTTAGCCCTCTTAAGGAGCAGACATTCTGCAAATTTAAAGGGAAAACTTGAAAAGTCATTTGGATTTTTTTTTTCTTGCACATGTTCACTCAGAAACTTTACTAGATTTTTTAGCAATGCTCCCATTACTGCCACATCTGGGTTTTCTCTTTTTCTTCCCTATTTAAAAAAGTCCTGCAGTCATTCAAGGCCTCTAGTAGAGAGTGATTCTAAAGGCAGCAAACGGGAAGGCCTGAGGCTATTGCCAGCTGTACTCTGCAGGCGTTTTTCATTCTCCCAGGGTGCCACTTACTGGTGTGGGGGCTGGGGAATCCGCAGAATATCATGAGCAAACTCCCCTGTGATTGGCTCTGTTTGCTCTCACGTTGGAGAAGGGAGCAAGGTATGTGGAGATGTTAAGATAGACACAGACAGGAAAGCTAGGGGCAGATGGCTTGGAATGGAACCGAGGAGAGACTATTGGGTATTTTCAGCTGTCTCTATGAGTCTACTTAGCTCCCAGGTCTGATTGTGCAACTAGGTCCCTTCATGTTACTTTGGGAACCTTAGCTTTAATGTTAGCTGTCACCACCTGAAAGTGAGCACAGAATTATTCTCTCCTCTCTTTTGAGCGTGAGAGCTCCATGTAAAGATGAAGGCCAATGTTATTTTGAGAATGATCTGGGAAACTCTAAGCTGTCATAATGTTGCAGGGACCAGTAGTAGGGTCTTGAACTTCAGTAATGAATACAGTGATTAAGAAAAGGGGCACAGAAACAAATGGGAGTGGTTCATATTGTGTGACTAACCCTCAAGACGAAGCAGAACAGGGCCATAGTGGGAGGGGAGTAACCCAGGCTCTCTGTATTTTTGTTTTTGTTTTTGTTTTTTTTTTTTAATTTTTCCTCCCCTAAGTTTTAGATGCTTCTGGATGTTCAATGCTAGCACCTTTGCAGACTGGAGCAGCTCGATTTTCTTCATATTTACTTTCAAGAGCAAGAAAAGTGCTGGGCTCCCACTTATTTTCTCCCTGTGGTGTTCCGGAGTTCTGCTCCATATCCACCAGAAAGCTGGCGGCCCACGGCTTTGGCGCATCCATGGCAGCAATGGTGTCCTTCCCTCCCCAGAGGTATCACTACTTTTTAGTGCTGGACTTTGAGGCCACGTGTGACAAGCCACAGATTCAACCTCAGGTAACTGTTGCATCATTGCTTCAGAAAAGGTGGGGTGGCAAGGAGGGAGGGAGGATAGTCTTGCTTCCTGGGACCCAGAAGAACTTTCTCATGTCTTCCTGGCTGTTAGCTACTAATCTGGAGTTCCTGCCTAGGAAGCAGGACTTGGTTCAGGCATGCTAGGGTAAGGCAGTCTCTGGAGAAAACCGGGTACATTATTCCTCTCGGCCTCACCCTTTGAGAATCAAAATATTTCTTTTGTCCCACCCTCCTCTCTCCTTTCACTCCTCTCCTTTCTTCTTCTGTTACTGCTGCATGTTCTTGAAGGAATATTGTGGTAGTCAGCCTCCAAGATGGTCCCCAGCAATCCTTGCTTCTTAATAGTCATTCCCTTGATTGTTCCCCGTCCACACTGAATCTGCTAGCCTTGTATAACCAATACAATATAGTGGAAGCGACATTCTGATACTAAGTCATAAAAAAAGCATTGCCGTCCACTTGCTCTTTGGATCACTTGTTCTGGTGGAAGCCAGCCACCATGCTATGAGGGCATTCAAGCAGCCCTTTGGGTAGGCACGTGGATAGGAACTAAGGCTCTTAGCTAAAAGCCAGTACCAGCTTCCAGGCATGTTTCTTGGTGCTACTGTGTTTCCCCAAAAATAAGACATAAGACCTACTTACAGGTTTCCTTCTGAGTGAAATATAAGGCATCCCCCCGAAAATAAGACCCCCCCTAGGCTTTGTCTCAGAATGCTATTGCTAAACATGAGAGATTTGGTCCACTGATTCTGAAAGAAATGGAGTCACAAGAAATTCACCAGGAAATTCAGGAATTGGATTGTTATGATGATGTTCCAGAAGATGATGACATGATTGTCATTGAATAAATGAGTAAATTCTTGATACTGTAGGATTCACAGTTTGTCTGGTTTGTGTTGACAACTACCATACTACCATACTGTATACAGGTAATAAATTTCCTTTATTTTCATTTAACAATAAATGTGTGCCGTATTCTTCTTCATGGAAAAATAAGACATCCCCTGAAAATAAGACCTAGCACATCTTTGGGAGGAAAAATTAATATAAGACACTGTCTTATTTTTGGGGAAACAGGGTACCTTGGAAGTGAATCCTCCAGCCCCAGTCAAGCCTTTAGATAGCTCCAGCCCCAGTGAACATCTTCAACCTCAGGAGCCAGACTGGCCAACTGAGCCACTCCTGAATTCCTGGCTTACGAATTGTGAGAGAAAAGAAATGATTATTGATGTTTAAGCCACTAAATTTTGGGATGATTTGTTATGCAGCATTACATAACTTGAACAAGTACCACTGTTGGTCTGTTGGAGAGGAATATTTTTTTGCTTGTTTTTTTTCTTAGCCACTGACTATATCAAGAGACCTTTTAAGTAGTGCTACTAGGAAGCTTGGATTAGCAGCAGAGGGGCGCTTATGCTGGGTAATCTTGGAGTGCTTGCTGTTTGCTTTGGAGGAATGATTGAGAAGAATGAGTGGGAGCTGATAGGAGGTTCATTATTTCGTGGAGACCTTGGGTATGCCTGGCTCTAGGACTGTAATTCCTCCCTCTGAGCCTGGGTTATCAGGTGTATAGTTCTGGGATGCATAGACATATTGATCTTGGGAATAGTAAGAAGGGAGATAGGAGGACTGTGGCATCAGACACTAGGGAGGAATAGGGTCCATTTAGAGATAAACTGGGTCCATCTCTCATGATTAATACCCCTACCACTATGAAGGTGTTCTTTCTTTAGAATTTCCATAAAGCAGATATCAGAACCCTTTTTCCTTCCCATTTCTCCTTTTCTTTTTTCCTATTCTCCCTTAAAGTAGTGTCTGCCTTTGGGGGAGTGGAATCAGACCTACTTAACCTTGGGAAGACAAGTGCAGATTGAGGAGCAAAAGGAAATATAGCTGGGAAGCTACCTGAGCCACATTTACTTTCTCAGTCCATGCTCTAGTCTAGGGTCTTCTCCTCTGCCTTCCAGAACTATTGGAAATTCTGTGGTGGGTGTGCCTAGATGGTGTATGGGGATTTTGGTTATGTAGATTCTCTTAGGCTGGAATCAGGGATCCATATCCTAATATACTATATTACTTCCCTTCCTGGTATAGAGTCTGAAACCCAACATATCCCTATTGCATATCATTTTATCCCTCATGATTACTTGGTACCTCCCTATGGCCTTTACTGCTTTCTTCCTCCTGGCACATGCCAACAAATGTTTATTTCTGAACTTTTCGGTTAGATTATAAGCTCAGATAATTATGTAGCTCTGTTCCCTTGGTCTACAGAGGGTCCTACCAAAGGAAGAAGGTCTGTCAGTATCACCTTTCATCTCTCTTTCAAGGGTACTGTTTTTTTTTTGTTGTTTTTTTTTTAATTCACTTATTGCAATGCAGTACAGATTTAAATCGCCTGTATCACCAGCTTCCTTCCTAAAGTTAGGTACCAAGGCCTTTCAGATCTAGGATGAGCTAGGGCTTCATGCTGTTTACTAGGATCTGGGCCTGATTAAAGATTATCTACAGAATCAATGAACCCTGATGATGTGATTCCAAGGGCACTTAAGGAATTGGCTGCCCTGCTTCATTATTAGCAAAGCATTAGCTGTTGCTTTAGAGAACTCAGGAAGAAGCATTTGCTGTCTTGCTTATCTTTAAAAGGGGAATACGAATGATCTTGGAAATTATAGACCTGTTAGTTTACTGTGATTCCAGAGAAGATACTTGACCTGATCGTCAGATAATCAATCAACAAACAGCTAGAAGAGCAGAGGGTACTGAGTAATAACTTACATGGGTTTGTGAAAAAGAGCAAATCCTGTCAGATCAATCTAACTTCTTGCTGTGACATAGTGATGGATTTGAGTGGATCTAGGGCAAGTGATAAATGTAATGCATCTCTACTTCATTAAGCTTTACAATGCTGTGATCAACAGGTAGGAAAGTGAATTTGGGGCCAGGCAGCTCTGTTGGACTACCCATTGAACCAGTCTCGGGAAAGGGATGGGCAGCTCAGGAAAGACTTGAAACTTATTGTTAACTGGAGGCCTAGTGTACAACATTTGTGCACCTGGAGGGGAGTGTTCCTCTGCCCGGCCTGTGCCCTTTCACAGTCTGGGAGCCCACAGAGAGCAGGCCTAAGGCGCAGTCAGACATCCTTAGCACTGCTGTGGAGGCAAAGAGGCTCCTGCCCCCTGCTACTGCCCCCTGCTGCTGCTGCACTCACCAGCCATCAGCCCGCTTGTGGCTGAGCGGTGCTCCTGTGGGAGCACACTGACCACCAGGTCAGTAGCTTCTGTGTTGAGTGTCTGCCCCCTGGTGGTCAGTGTGTGTCATATCGACTGGTTGTTCTGCCATTTGGTCGATTTGCATATTACCCTTTTATTATGTAGGAGGGCAACTTAAAGCCCCCATCTTATTCTTAAAACAAACAAAAATCTTCCCTAAAGTTTGCAGGAAACAAGATCCTGAAAAGATTCAGAGAATTTTAGGAGATGGACTAGAGAAGCTGTCCGTCCCTGATATGACAGCATCCTTCCACTGAGGTCATCATAGGTCAGGTTCTCATTAGAGCCTCTGTGGTATTTTGGTCTAATGGTCAAGAAGGGCATTGGAGAAATTGGTAAAGCTCAGGATAAGAGGAACAAAAATCATCAGAGGCACAAAGATAAGACTTAGGAAGAAAAGAAATTGAATATGGTTTTAGTGACTGATTTCTTGTTCAGACTAAATAAATTCATCATATGGGAAGTAATTGTTCCAAGGAGGATGATAATAACTTACTCCTCATTTTAATAAGGACAAAAAGAAAAAAAAATGAATTTAAATGGAAGCAGAAACATTCAGACTTGGAATGAGAATGTACTTCTAGTAGTGACAGTAAAAGCACTAGGAAATGGTGTGCCAGTTAGAACAGCCTTCCCTAGTGCTCTCTCTGAATGGCTTGATGGCTGTCTACTTGACAGAGAGACTTTTTGGGCAAGTCTGCATGCCTCCTGGAATGGGCTTGGGACTGAATCAGAACCCATCCAGCTCCCCTCCTTCCTGGCTCCCAAGAACTTTCAATAGTGAAGGCCTCTGCATAGTACACTTCTGATTCTTATGGGAGTGTGTCATAAACACATTTTTGGCCAAAGCCTATCTGGAGGCTTGGCATTGGGTTCATTCTCTCATCTGTGTCTGAATCAACTTATTGGGACTATCCTAAAGGAATGCCACTATGAAAAATTAACAGGTGTAAACTCTGTTGTACTTGGGTGAGTAACAATATTATTTATAAACATAGTAAAGCATGGTATTTCCCATTTGTCATCATTTTTGTTGTTATTTTTGTACTTTGTTCAGTTTGGTGAGACTGGAGTGGCCAGTTTGCCTGTAGTAGGCTTTCGCTTTCTGGTGTTTTTTTTTTTTGTTTTTTTTTTTTCCACTTATTTGTCTTACATACTTTAATTCAGATTAGCATAATAGGTATTGGTTGAATATGAGACTTCTTCTATTTGAGGACATTTTTTCACTTTATTTTTAATTTGGATGGTTGAAGATGTTACATAGACTCTAAATTTGAGGAATACTATTACTTTCCTGCTTTAAGAATTGTTTCTTGATATGGAAGTAGGTTTGGGAGAATCGTGGTTCCTTTATTCTGCTTGCAGAGGTTCGTGCTGCCCATTTTGGTGTGGATGTGCGTGGAATGGTGGTGGTTGTAACTCCTGGGCCCAGGGAGCAGCTGAAAGTTCTGGTGGGATTTTAACTTGTGCATTTTTAACTTGCGGGCACTTCTCTCACCATCTCTGTTCAGAGAAGACCAAAGCAAATGTAAGTGAGGAAAACAAGGTATAGTCCACCGCAGGAGGAGAGGAGGAAGTAACCTGAGCTGTCCTGGTGGCCAGGGATGGGCAGCCCAGCTCTCCTGCTCTGGGGATCAGACATCCTGGCTGCTGTCTGCCCTCCTTCCCTGCGTTCCTTCTGGCCATCCAGCCTCCCGGGAATAGTCTGTT